CTAAACATTGAGGTGTGCTTGAACTGTATATCACAATTTAAAAGCCTGCAGAAGAAAGTTGACAACTTGATTTAAATTCTATACAGTTCAAGAAGTTCATTTGAACAATTCTACAAATTACATTTCCACAAGCGATATATACACACATCTGTCATATAAAAACAATTTTTCTTTTTTTTCTTTCTTTGGAAACTTGCCAGCAGTGCAGCAATTTATAAAGTATTATAATATATTGTGTAAGTTGTGTGGATTTATGCAAATGAGATCAACTTTTGACCCTCAAAAATGACCAATGACTTCGAGCAGTGTAAAACTACAAACTCAGAGAATTTCGACTTTTCACAAGGAACCTGAATTCAAGATTACTCTGTCAGCAACAGACATTTCCCACAAAGATTCAGGAAAAAGTGTTTTTCCAAATTTTTATACTACTGAATAAAAAAAAATTCAAACAATTCAGCTCTTATACAATTGGTCATCAAACCCAAGTATATATGAAAGGTATTCTCTGATTGGCCCAGTTAAATGTTAAAAAAACAATCAGGAATAACTTTGCATAAGTTACAGTGTTCGCCAAATATTCTCTTGCCTCAAATGACATAAATAATACTCTTAACAAGGTGCTAGAAAAAGACTTAAAGGGTGGTGATCATTGCACGAAAATTTGCCCAATGTGTGAATACCCAGAATCCCAGGAATTACCTTTGTAATGTCTTTTTTCTTGTACAGTGTTTACCTGTGCGACTCTCAAAGTCACATCTTTGTTCGTATGGAACTTGTACCCCAAGCGTACATGCCACGACGACCAAAGCCCTTTCAAGTATTTTCCGCCATCCAACTGTTTCAAACTTTGAAGTCACATTGACTGTGCAGTTAAATAGCATTCAGGTTATACTGGTAGAGAGCTATTAATAATGTTGATATCCTGTGTTGTAGCAAATATCTATTTATAAAAAAACATGCTATTAAATGTTCATATAATTCAAACAATGTTATAACAAGAAAGTTTTTTACACCAAATTGGTAGAGAGCGCTGTAGCAAAACATTTAAATAAGTTCAATTCTTTTATGGCCCTCTAACTGTAAATGTAATTCATTGCCATAGAAACGTCACAGAACTACAAAGACCATATAATCCATGTTTGAGGACAATTACATTTGCCCGTGTTGAGCCATCGTTGTAATCAAAACAACTTGTGATCACCGCACATTGTCTAGGCATCTTCACACATCACGACGTACCAAGCAATTACCTTGGCCAGTGCAAATTTCCTATTGATGTATTCGGTTGCCTGGCAACCATGCAAATAATGCATTCGCATACGAATTTATGTGCAAGAAATTTTCTCCCCTAAAATTTGCGTGCAAACTATTTTTTCTTTGCGAGTAAAAGAAATGTTTGGAAATGACACAAGGGTACAGTATAATGCATGTAACAATGACGAAACAAACATCCACACTGCCGCTTTATGACAGTTCGAACCCAGTGTTGCTAGTGATCGAATATCTAAGCTTTTCTCGAAGCGTGCTCTTTTTCTGGTAGTTCGGTAATTTCAGTAAATTGAAACATGTTGATGAGGTGGGCAAACGGCCGACTGGGTCCTTTTTCCGAATGGTGAAGAAACCGCGAAGTACGCTTCCCAAGGTATCACCTGTGTCCTAGTGGTAAAGAAAATGTATAATACAACTCATTATAACAGACTATTTTGTCTTACTTGAATGTTCTAACCCAAATAATCCTCAATCACCTGTGGAGCGTAACAAGATTTCCCCAAATATATATATTGTAATCATTACTGCATAAAGTTATATAGAAACAGTTGGGTCAAATGCATCTTTGCAGAATTCAAACTCATAATCCAATTCATCTACTCTAGGCAAGGCTTACATAGTTTTACTATGTTCTATGACTGACTCGTAAGCAGTACAGGCCTAGAATGATTATATATCCCACGATAATTTATTTTTGAGACGTCAGCATACAGGAGTGATTATCGCCAGAGTTTTGTATCAATCCGAGTCGCAGGTTATTGTTTACTGATGTCAGCCTGAGAGAAATTATCGTGGGATTATATATTTATCCCCATGTATATTATTATGACATAATGAAACACCAATGTTATCGTGGAACTATTGCTTAAAGCGAGGGAGTCGTCACCTGCGTATGCGTCAGATTGCATATGTGTATTGTTTACAAACAAGTCTACCCATGATCCTTTGCATTTTTAGAGTGTGTTGTTATCGTCGCTTGGGGCTCAATTCCCGCGCGTGCGCAGGTGACGGCCCTCCTGCCTTAAATAGCACAGAATACAAATGCATCATTGTGTACGTTTGGTAACGCTGATTTTGTTGACGCAATGGTGTTCATCTCATGCAAATTTCATAATGTACACTGTATGGTGATTTTGCTCATTCTTGATTATTGCTCCATTTCGCAAGGATTTTTTAAGCTTTTCAACTTATTTTTTGGAGGAACTGAATAATTCTAAAAATACACATGTGAGCTTGCTAAAATGAACCATTGTTAGCACAATCCCTAGTTATCAAACCATAGAGCCGTACAATGAAAAAAGGTTTAGCAGTATGTGACGTAACACTGTGGTGATACAGATTTTTGATTTGTCCTGTGATATACGCAAGTTATGAATGTGATAATACACTTTATTATGTCACCGTAACGCCATGAGTTACAGCGTGTCGTAATTTTGCGGTATTTTATGGGGTATTTTCATCCTAGCATATAAGGAAATGCGAATTCCAAATATGGAATGATTACGCGCACAAGTGTCCTCTAATAAAAACAAACAAACATGGCTGCCACCAGGGTTTGACCGAACTCCACACAAAGAAGTTCGCTGATTCTGTTCTAAACTTTTTTGGATCTCGGCATTCCCATGTTGTATACTTGGAAGGAAAAGATGTATA